TTTTTTTTTTCTTTATATAAAGAAGAGACACGCGGCTTTATAACTTTCGGCAGTTTAATATTTTTTTTTGTTTCTTTTAACATAAAAAAAAAAACTTTTTGAACAATTTTTTTTACTGTAGCGTGCTTTGTAGAAAAAAATTAAGCGCGGTAAACTTTCACACGCCATCCATTTCGTAACTTATAAAAAGAATTATGTATTTAACCACCAAGCTTGCGTCTCTACCCGCTACTACTTCGAATTTTTCTTCACTACAAACCATAAATTTACAGCGAAAACCGTTACCACCTTTACCAAATAATTTGCAACAAGCTGATCAATTTTCTTCTCAAAAATCTTCAATGCAATTCTTTTCTCAAAATAATGTTACTACTACTACTACTACTACTACCACCACTGCTTCAACGACTTCGATAATAAGTGATTCTTCGTCGTTTGAACATGTTCTTCCAGAACGCGTATCGGATTTCGCAGCTCATATGACTTGTTTCTTGTGGTTTGGTGATTACATCATGGATTCTTCTTCGATAATACCACCCCCAGGTGGGAATGGTCACAGGAGGTTTCCCGATTTTAAACCGAGAGACGCGTTCAAGAAGTTTTGTCGTGATGTTATTTCGGCCACTCAAGTCTCTCGATCGGTCATTCACTTATCGCTATTATATATTCATAGGATGAAGATAAATAATCCTACAATAAAAGGTCAAAATGGTTCTGAATATAGAACTTTTACCGTGGCTCTTATGTTGGCTAATAAATTTTTGGACGACAATACTTATACAAATAAAACTTGGTCAGAAGTTACTAATATACCTGTTTGTGAGATAAATACTATGGAAATGGAATTCTTGGGCTCTTTGAATTATCAATTATACGTTTCAGAGAAACAATATTTCGAATGGGTTCAAAATTTAGCCACTTACTTTCGAATTGGAGATAATTTTCATGATGATGATAATTCTTCCCCGGATTGTTCTATTTCTATTTCTCAACAATCTTCTCAACATTCTTCTCAACAACAATTGCAATTTACTCAACAACAACAACAACAACAACAATATATTCCTGTTCAACATCAACAAATTCTTGTTCCTGTTCAATCAATGGCTACTGGTTTTAAACGGTCGGCCGAACAAGCTTTTGTGGATGGAATGATGGTATCACCACCAAAAAGAGCAAACGTTTACTCTATGTATTCTACTGTACAAGCTCCTCAACAACAATCTCAACAACAGGTTTAT